TATATACACACTTTCTGCCGGAGTTCTTGTGATCATGCTTTTCCTGACTAGATTCTACAAGGAGTTTGAGAAGAAAAATGGCAACCCAAAGACTTTTGAATTTTTTCTCTAACAAGTATAAGAGCACCCTTGATTAAAATAACTGATTTGATTTGCAGTTCTTAAAGCATGAAAACACTTATAATCAAGCGCCCTTTGAGAACCTATTAATTCGCCTTTCGCGTCGTCGGTTCCATTAACACGAGTTTTAATCTTAGCAAAGCTAATCTTCGGCTATATTTATGAAAGCGATTTCATCAACATTCACAACTTGACGACTAGCGTGCCGTTCAGAGAAGCGAATGCCGGGAGAGGCGGGGCTGAGAACCAATGTTTCGCCGCTCGTTCAACTTTGTAAGCGGGAGATCTCTTCTGAGGCTACTAGTTGTCGGGGAGCGTTTTCTAGTGCCGCAATGGACGAAGGCAAAAAAGAGGTACTCATCATCCTTCAATCAGGAGGGGGGCATTCGGATTTTCGGTTTTGCGGTCTAGATCGGTAAACAGAGTAGCAGGACAAAGAAAAATAACGAGCTGGATGGTAGTAAACGAATGAAGAAATACAATAACTTGCTTACAATAATACAATAATACGTAACTTGCTGAAGGGCTTGATGAACTGAAAAACGTGTCCACTTCTCGCAGTTAGGTCAGGGTATGAGTTCAATAATTAAGTTCGCTGCTACTAATGATGGACGACAACGATTTTTTTGGATCACATACAAAGGCATAGATGAATGAAAATGTTTTATACATGCGAACATGAAAGGTTTTCCATTGAATACGCAGCGCAAATGACTACTGTAAAGAAAATCATGAAAGATGACCAAAAGGAACTAAAATGTTAGCCTAAAGGTATTTGAACTCCTACAAAAGCTCTTTAAGCTATTTGGCAGTTGTTTCCATCTTAGTCATCACTCTCGTCCACTGAGATATTTGTAATTCCTTTGATATCCAGTTCAAGACAGTTCTCGTCCCTCAGGACATCCTACAAAAAAATAAAACAAACGGTAATAAGCCTATGCATCAGATAAAGGTAAAGAGCAAGTTCTCCATTTATTTTCTTTTATTAATTGAACGATACACAGCTCTACTGGTCATGAATGTTAAAAATTTGTACTGAATATTTCTTCTCCCGTTGGATCCATTTTTTTCAGTATTTTCATAAATGTTTGCCAAGTATCATGATGTAATTTCTTTAAACCTGACTTCAAAAGTGATTTAACTAAATGTTGCTTAACACCGTCAAACAAAGTCCTTTTCTTTCACTCAATCGCAACTGAACACAACACACCCGCAAATAGGTCAACACATTAGTGGACCATCTCAATAACTTACTCCACATAAGTACCATCGTCGAGCCAATTAACTTGCCATAAAGGTTACGTCATCTTCGATAAACTAGTGAAACAAACATTATTTAGCATATGAGCCCACAAAGAACTCTTCATCTATTTCCTTCTACTCTTTCCCGATCAAATTCCATTTCCTGATGCAAGGAGTACAGACGATCATAAACTTTTTCGGTGACTATTAAACTCTTACGCGTTTCGTCTTTATTTTTTCCTCCAGTGATTCCAAAAGCTCAGAAAATGATGGGCGCTTAGTGGAATCCAAACTCCAGCATGACTTCATCATATCGTAGCTGTGAAAAGAAAAACCACTCTGTTTAGTCACACCTCAGAGTTGAACAATTGTGGCAGACCGGGGTCTTATTCTATTCAAGATTATTTACATTTCATCTGGGCATTCATCCGGCTTGGCTAAAACTTTTCCTGCTTTCAGAAATTCTATTATTTCCATTCCGCCAAGACCAGAATACGGCATTTTACCTTGAAAGGAAAGATAAAGATTTCAGTCTTTGTTAATGGTTTAATCAGCAGCTTGTCTCAGTAAGACGACTAATGATAATTATTATACAGTAGACTTACTTTGAAAACTCTGATAAGTCGAGAGAATACGTGAAATATACAATAGCGTGTGCAGTTGACATGGTAACCCTATATCTGCAGCAGATATTCAGTTGAACATGATGATGATGATGAT